AAACATTATAAATTTTAGTTATTTATTCATTCTATATTTTAAAAAATTCAAGCTATGCTTTAGTCCTTATCATTTAAAATGTGTTGATTTTACATCTATAACTATCAAATCCTTATTTTCACGGCGTTTTGTTTTTATCTTAACTTTAATACCTAAGATATTTTCGATCCAGAATATAAAACTTAATATAAAAGTAATAGAAATTCAATAATTTTTTTAAAAAAAGATAATGCAGTGCACTTATCATATTAAAAACCAGCTAACAATGATTTGTGTTGCTTAGCATAAATGTTAAAGAAAACTTTGTGTAGAATGTTTACTTGAAAAAGGAGTTGATTTTCACTAAGCAGTTTTAATTGATAAGTTTGATGAATAAGTCACTCAGAAATTAAAAGAAACCTAGCTTTAACAAACCTCTGAGGTAACCAAACAGAGAAAGGCTTTTAAATCAATGCTATCTGAAACTGAAAATATGTTGAAGAAAATGATGTAAGATTTATCTGAATCAATCAAATAAATATATGAAATGATTGATTAGGAAAACAGCTCATACATAAAATTTATCAACTAAAATCCATCAGAATCCTCCAATATAGATTTAGAAAAATTAGTCTAAATTTTAAAAGGAACAAAATTAAATGACTGGGATGATTATAAGAATTAATTAACTTTTGACTTGGAATAGATCAAGAATTAGTTGGAAAAAGACATTAAGGTTTTCGTAGAAAAGTCGAAAGAAGGAATAAAAAAGATTTAGTCAATAATGATGAAGAAAGAGTGTAATTTTCATTCTAGGATTGAATCCCATGGTGAAGGTGAAGTTTATCAAAGGAAAGAAGATTTGTATGACATTTTGGCCTATATTCAAGATATTGATGAATCAATATTAGAGGGGATTATTGAGGTACTGAGAAAGGAGAAAATTTCGGATATACTTGGATTTATTTCTAAACCATTAAATTTATAACAATACGAATCATTTATTTATAAGTAAGAAGAAACAAATGATGTGAATAAAAAAATTAATAAGATCAATAATGTAGTTAGAAATATTTATGATCATCCATTTAATAAAATGAATTATTCTTCAGAACTTTTTTAAGTGGCTAGATAAAATTTAATCAACAAAATAGCAGGAAACAAGAAGATTATAGAATTTATTAAATTTTTAGTTCAACTCACAACCATTGATGAAAAATTTATTTAATGTGGATCAAATGGACTGAATTTATTAGTGTAGATGAAGGTTGATCTTACCAACCAAAACTTTGAAGACATCCGAATCAAGAACACTTCTTTGATTGGTGCTAATTTTGTAAAATGTAACTTTAGCGGATCTGTATTAGAGAATGTGGACATAAGTGGTGTTAACCTTAATGGAGCACTATTATTTAATTGTAATTGGAAGTAGATAAAGGTCCATGAATTAATTTAATTGCAAGGACATGAAGGCCCAGTCTTAAAAGTGTGCTTCTCAC